CTGGAGTGCAGTGGCGCGATCTCGGCTCACTTCAACCTCTGCCTCCCAGGTTCAAGCGATTATCCTTGCCTCAGCCTCCCAAGTAGCTGGAATTACAGGCACTCGCCACCACACCCGGGTAATTTTTTTTTGTATTTTTAGTACAGACAGGGTTTCACTATGTTGGCCAGGCTGGTCTCGAACTCTTGACGTCGTGATCCGCCCACCTCGGACTCCCAAAGTGCTGGGATTACAAGCGTGAGCCACCACGCCTGGCTGAAATCCTGATAATTACCAGTTTTCTAGGATATTTGAAACTAGAAGAGAGCCCTAAATAATAAACCCAAAATCTTATTTCAGTTCAGAAGGAAACAGCAAACTATAAGGCAATAAACTGGTCGTATAGTACATATAACATGTGCAAATTCAGTCAATGTGACTAAAATCACCAGAGTTTCTCCCCTCATTCTGGCTGTGAACATTAACTGTTAGTATTATTATACAATAATTGTGCTTACTTGACTATTGTAGAGTTCTTCTAGAAGAGCTAAGGATTTAATGGACTTTGATCTGCAAATTTCTTGCTCTGTAAATTGCTGGATAGCTGGATGAACCTTCTGAGTCTGACCCAAACGCAAAAATCCTATTTTAAACTTGGCTAACTTCAAAAGAATATTGTCAACAGCAGAGTGTGTATAGCTTGTCAACAAAACGCTAAAACCACAGGCATAGAGAATTCTTACCTAATAATGGGTAAGAGAAAAAAGAAAAAACAGCCTTACTTTTAATTCCAGATAATTTTTAACATGTTTATAAATTTAACAAGAACCATATCTAAGAGCTGATTTAAAAAAAATTATGAAGCCAAAACATTTTACAAAAATCACATGACAATATTATATGTTATTAATAATACATCAATAATATGTCATAGGCCAGGCATGGTGGCTCATGCTCGTAATCCCAGCACTTTGGGAGGCTGAGGCAAGTGGATCACTTGAACCCAGAAATTCAAGACTGGCCTGGGCAACAAAGTGAGATCCCATCTCTTTAAAAAAAATTTTTTTTTAATTAGCCAGGTGAGGTGGTACACCCCTGTGGTCCCAACTACTTGGGAGGCTTGGGAACGAGGACTGTTTCAGCCCAGGAGGTTGAGGCTGCATGAACTGTGATCATGCCACTGCATTCCAACCTGGCCTCAAATACCAACCCTCCCGACTCAGACTCCCAAAGTGCTGGGATTACAGGTATGATCCACCTCGCCTGGCCCACATAACAAGACTCCGTCTCAAAAAAAAAAAAGAAAAAAAAAAGAAATTTACTGACATGGAAAAAAAAATCCAAGAAAAATCTCTAACTTTTTTTTTTTTTTCTTTAGGACAGAGCTTTGCTCTTGTTGCCCAAGTTGGAGTGCAATGACGTGATCTTGGCTCACTGCAATCTCCGCCTCCTGGGTTCAAGTGATTCTCCTGCCTCAGCCTCCCAAGTAAAGCTAGGACTATAGGCGCGCGCCACTACGTCTGGCCAATTTTTGTATTTTTAGTAGAGATGGGGTTTCACCGTGTTGGACAGGCTGGTCTCGAACTCCTGACCTCAAGTGATCTGCCTGCCTCAGCCTCCAAAAGCGCTGGGATTACAGGCATGAGCCACCATGCCCAGCCTCTAACATCATCTTTAAAGGGAAAGGAAAACATACAGTGATATATATCACATACCACTAACGGAAAGAGATCTTAGAAAATTCTAAATGCAAGAAACCTACAACATGATTACAACTGTTTGTGATTCAGCTTTACTATTTCTCATGTCATTCCAAAAAGTTCATTTGAAACAATGACAGTTTGAATTAAAATTCAGCCCTTTTGATATTAAATATTACATCCTCTGAACTGAGGAGAAGTTGATACAAATATTTCGTTTCTAAGCAGAAGAATAATAATCTTACGAGAGTACATATCGTAGTTGTTTTTCCTGTCCCAGGCATTCCCACGACGAGTGTGTAGTCTTTTGAAAGAAGTACCTTTTTCATCGCTTGCCTCTGAGGCTTATTCAAACCTACATTTAAATTCAAAAATAACAGGAAAAAGAGTGTTGAATTTCAAAGGAAAAGTTAATTATTTTATCAGAAAAGCAGTCTCTATTCAAGTCTATTCTTCAATACAAAACCATTTCCAAAGAGTCTTGATCTAAACATTGTAATTGCAAGTCTAATCAAGATATTAGACCACAGTATAAATCAAATAGAAACAAGAAAAATTAATCAAAGCAGACATGGTGATTTTAGCATACCCTTTAGAATGCAGGCAACTGTATCCTTTGCATCATGTGGAAGAACAGAACTAAGGTAGGATGTAAACTGAGGTTCACGAAAGTCAATAATTAAATCTCGAAGTTTTTTGCTGAAAAGTGAAAAAGCACTTTTAGTAATATTCCTTAGAAAAGTGGAGTGAAATTCAAATTTGCTCATTGTTACAAACCTGACAAATGTGTTTTCCATCAATTTAGAAAGATTTCCTAATGGGGTCTCTATATCACAACTTTTTTCTTCCTGGTCTAATCTGAACAAAATTGATTCTGGAAGGACCGACAAGTTTCTAAAACAACAAAACAAATATGCATGAATGTTTTCTGTTTCGCATAGTCTGTATAAGAAATATCCTGCTATCTGCTAAAATAATAAATGGGCCAGAATAGCTATTAAAATAGCTACCAGTCCTCAGTCACACTTGCCAATCAAGGACAGCATGAGGCCCTGGATTGGTGGGAAAAGGCAGAGGGAAGGGGAAGGTACAAGGCACCAAGGTCAAAGCAATTAATAATTGGGAACCTGCAACATTTGCTGAAAATTCACTTACCCTTGCAATCAAACATGGGTTCACCATCCCCAGAGTGATCCTGAATGCATGGCTCTTCCCTCCTCTAACCTGGAGTGCAGGCTTCTTTCCTGCCACCTTCTCCCGCTCTTCTATCTGTCCCTTAATCCCTGGTATTCCCTAGAATCCCTTCCCTGGTTCATTGTAATACTCTTTCTCGTTGTTTTCCCCAGGGTCCCAGGCCCTCACGTACCTCCAAATTCCAAATTCCATCTTTAGGCCTGACTTCACACTCCTCTCCCACCTGGTTCCTCACCCAAGCTTTGGGTTTGGATATTTGGTAGACAGTGAAATCTCTCCACTTAGCTAAACCCAGGCTATGAAAGCACAGTACATTCAAAGCAGAACTCCTCCTCATCCCTGCTGAACCCGATGCTCCTTCTCTGGTCCTGATCACAATTAATGGCATTTGCATTTGCACTGCTGTCTTGATCCTTCCCTCTCCCTCATTCTCTCCCCAACCCGCATACCCAATCAGTATCCAAACGTCAGCCAATTTTACTTTCTAAATACTTCTCAAAGTCATTCTATTCGCTCTGCCAACACTACCCTGTCTCAGTTGCCTCTAGCCTGGGTCACTGCAACAGCTTCCAGGTTTGCTTTTAGTTTTTCTTCCATTAATTAACTCAATTCTCTATAATGTAGCCAAAGGAAAATGCAAATCCAATGATTTTCTACTCTTCTGTTTAAAACCTTTCAATACATCAGAATAAATAAAATCTAAACTTTTTTTTTTTTTTTTGAGGGAGGGTCTTGCTCTATTGCCTAGGCTAGTGTGCAGTGGCATGATCATGGCTCATTGCAGCCTTGAACTCCTGGGCTCAAGCAATTATCTCACCTCAGTCCCCTGAGTAGCTGGGACTACACATGTCCACTACCACATCTGGCTAATTTTTTAATTTTTTGGAGAGATGGGGGTCTCACTATGTGGCCCAGAATGGCAAACTTTTTAACATGGTATATAAGACATTCTATGATCTGATCTCTCTAATAACTCTCTTCCTTATATTTTATATTCCAGAAATAACATAATCACCTGCATTTTCCTGAATGCTTCATGTCACACTACATCACACCTTTGTGCAACAGGTTTGCCCAGTATAGTATTCTCTTCTCACACTGTTTCACCAGACTAATTTATTAATCCACAGGATGAAGATTCAGAATTAGCTCTTCGAAAAGGCTTCTCTTGGCCAGGGACAGTGGCTCACGCCTGTAATCCCAACACTTCAGGAAGCTGAGATGGGAGGATCACTTGAGATCATTGGCCAACATGGTAAAACCCCGTGTCTACTAAAAATATAAAAATTAGTCGGGCATGGTGACACATGCCTATAATCCCAGCTACTCGGGAGGCTGAGGCAGGAGAATCGCTTGAGCCCAGGAGGCAGAGACTGCAGTGAACTGAGATTGCACTACTGCACTCCAGCCTGGACAACAGTGAGACTGTCTCCAAAAAAA